AAGGATGGCCGAATCCCAAAAGACATCCTGTACAGAGAGCTTGCCAAAGGACAGAGAGGCATCAGTCGCCCGCAGCTGAGATACAAGGATATTTGCAAAAGAGACATGAAGGTGCTCAACATCAACACCGGAATTTGGGAGGACATCGCTGCCGATCACGCGATCTGGAGAAACACTCTCCGTAAACAGCTGAAGATCGGTGAAGAGGAATTGACGGTGGTGGCAGAAGAGAAGCGGGCGCATCAAAAGGAACAGGCAGCCAACAGACCAGCGTCAACGCACACATGTGACCTCTGCAATCGGGACTGTCACTCTCGTGTTGGTCTCCTTAGTCAAAAGAGACGCTGCTCTAGACGAGCGATCAACATGAGCTAACAATGGACGGATGCTCATCCATGGTCAAACCTGGCTGAAGGAGGCGTACAATATAGTTCCCCCTAATGCCCAAACATAAACAAAAATCTAAAAGTTAAAATCCCCTTTCCATTAAACACAAAACAAAGCAAAAAGTCGAAAGTTACAAAACACATAAATGCTTATTACAACAAAATTTGATTCAGAACCACTACTCACCCCTCTACAGAGCTAAGAACTTTTACCTCTCTTAGCTGCATGTCACAAGTCTTGAATGAAACTCACACCTTACCCATATTAATGTGAACTGAACCAGCCTATGATGTAATGATTATTAGACTATAGTCTGCCACCAGTCAGAGGACAACACATCCTCTGTGCATGGTAAATCCCCATGAGCACTTAGCATTTCAACAGAGGACTGCTTTGTTCCAATGTGTTTTTTTTTAAGAATGAATGGAATATTGGTGCTTGTTGTTCTAAATTTTCATTACAAGTTGTAGTTTACTTTTATTCCCTTTATTTTCTTATGTGAAAGAAAAATGAAAAATTGTTAAACATTCTCACTCAGATGGGAGATTGGCAACCTGTTTTACGTCTGTTCCACATGATCTAGCTTTGGTCATTCTTTGATTCTAAGTAGTTTTTTCTGATGTAATGTGCTTCTTTCATGTCCTGATTTGCCTGCCCACCTTTTCCTCTCTTTAATTTGTTCACAATGGTCAAATATTCTGTTCACAGACATTCCTTTTGGGTTGTCTAAAGCCCTTTGTACTTTCAATTGGATCGAGTGGGCTTTTGCTCAGAGGCTGAATTCCTTAGGCCTGTTGTTCCACTGCATTATGAGCATTTGGCTTCTACTTGCTACATTCAATATAGCATCTACTGCTGCTACCTCCTTTCTCCTTCAGGAGTCATTTCGTTTTGGATGGTTGGCTCAACATTCTAATTCAGTCTTGACTCATACTCAGTCTCTCGTACACATAAGGGCAGGATTAGCCTTCTCTTTTATGTCTTTTTGGTATGGAACTTCTGATACCAAGACTCTTGTTTCTCCTTATTTTTCTTGTGTGAGAGGATTTGGGTCTTTTTGAGGACTCTCTTCTCTTGAATGCCTTATTCCTCTTGAACAGGTCCTTTTCAGTGGACTCTGACTGATCAGTGCAGAATGTCCAGAGATCAACAGTCTTTTTCCTTGTGTCTACTTTAGCAATTAAAACTTCTTGTTTCCAAACCTTTAGTAGGTGCACAGGTGGCAAATTTTGTAGCTTTGTGCTTAACAAGAATCAAACATACAAACAAAACCTGTCAACCAGTGCCTTTGTTCAGGTAAGGTTTGGTTCTGGACACCTGTTCCATTTTCGGAAGCTGGTCTCCATCCACTGACGTTCTTACTTTAGATCTCTGTTTTGGGCCTATGACCACTACGTTTGGTTGTCAGTCTATTATGACTTGGGAATTTAGACCTTTGTGGTAGATTGATTATCTCACCTAGACCATATTTTTCCCACAGAGTGGTCTATATCCTTTGGTATTTTTTGTGGATTTGCTCCCACTTTGGGAGTCTTTTCATCACTGCCTTTTTTTTGACTCACCCTCATCAACCAGCTTGCATTCTTTTAATTCTAAGCTCCAGACTCTAAAGCTCTGACAGTGTATTACACTTAGTCCAGATTGGTTCAATCTATTTTTATGTTCCTATTCTCCTCTTCGACTTCTTCCAATTTCTGCAATGGGTATGTGCATGACCTTCTGTCTTTCCCCGGCCATTAATCTTTACTTTCTTTCATCTTATGGATGTTTTTGAGCCTTTTTCGTCAGTTTTCCTGCACCTTTTTTTGTTGTTTTCTTAAAGCTCTCACACATTTCCCCCTTCTCCCCATTCCAGCCACTAGCCACCTGTTCTCTGTACCATCCTTCTCTTAAGACACACATTCTTCTTGTTACTTGGGGAGCTTCCCACTGACAGGTTAATATTACTCTCTGATCACTCCTTCCTCCACAAAACTTAGTCTGCATGGGAGGGTGGTCAACTGTTTTTTTTCAATCAACCTCCCTTCCCTGTATGATTGTTCCAATCTTGAATGTCTTTTATGTCCTGTAGGAGCTGTTCATGGCAATCGTCAGCATCTTTTCTTGCCATTAGATTTCTCTTCCTTTTGTAACTTACACCTTCCACTTTTATTGGTTGTTTTTACACTTCATCAGGCTATTTTATTCTTATGGGTAATGATTTTCATCACTTTCATCTCTCCTTCCACCAAGTTTGTTATCTCAGTTTCTATTGCCTCTAACCATCAATACCCCATGGATGAGATTTTACAAGTGAGGATTTGGATGACCTTCAACACGGTAGTGCCACATTACTTCCACTACATTGCAGTTTCACCTACCTGTGATTTTTGACTTCCTCCAGTTGCTTCTCTTAAATTCTCACAGATGTTCTAAGTAGGTGAGTTATTATATATTTATTTTCTTGCAGGTATTACAATCACTTTATTACTTCTATATATTTATATTATGAAGATGATGAAACCCACCACATGACAGTTGTTGCTTCACAGGGAATACTTCTCTCTTTCGTGAAATCTGCATCGAATAGGAGATAACAGACAGTTCTCAGACCATCTGCTTCTCCTCAGTTACTGCTGTTGAGATGTGGTTGTCTACAAAACTGCTTCAGTAGTATGTATATATTTTACTTTCAAAAAAAAATGTTTAAAAAAAGATTGCACTAGATGTTAGCTTGCCTTCATACCTGGCTAGTACTTGCTGTTCCTTTTTGTTTTAACTCATTATACAGTCTATCAGTTTGAGACTTTATGCAGATATGATGGTTACTCTTTGGTCAAAGCACCACTCCAGCAGCATTCTCCCCCATGTAAATTCCTATTTCCTTGTGTCTTCTAGTGAGTAAAGTCCCAATCTGCTAGGGAGGTCTGTATGGAGAGTTTCTCTTCTGGTCAGTATATTTCCACTGTTATGAGACTGAGTAGATGCACTCCTCGATCAGAACTAAGGCTGGGCTGTTACCTGGAAGTATAGTACAGGCCACCCAACTACACTTTGAACCAAGCCATTCCCAGTGGTTAAGCCAGCTGGATAGGTTTTCTGTTCTCTTTGGCATGTAGGTCTGGGAAAATTCCTCTCTGCATCTACGTATTCTGGTAAGTATTTTATGATTTGCATTAGCTACACTACACACCTGTGTTCTTCTAACCACCTGAAATATAATTGTAGATTAAGTAATCTTAAATTCTTTCCACCTATGAGACACTTGATCACCATGCAGAATGTTTTCTTACTGTAACATTTGCTCTACTTCTATGGGGTGAAGAGTTATTCCCTGCATTGAGGAAGATCAGGATGCTCCACCTGGTGACATGCCTCATGGGTTTTCCCTTTCTTATGCTATAATTTCAGGTAGGATCTCATCTTTTCGAATTTATTTATCTACACTGGCTCCTCTTCTATTTTCTTATGTGGGATTATAGTTCTTGGTATTGTGGAGAGGTGAGTAGCATTTCTGAAGTTAATATTTTTCTTAACAGAAAATGCATTTCAAATGGAAAAATCATATCTTCACAGAATCATTCACCCTTTCTCTTCACTTCTGATGTGTCATTTGCCTTATCAGAAATGAGTTTTTGTTGAAATGCTAGTTCTCAATGCTTACAGGTGTTTGCTGTGGATGGAGGATGTGTCATTATGCTATTGGTGGAGAGCTGTGTTCTAATGATAATCGCACAAAGAAGATCAATTGGTGGAGTCCATATTAATATATGTAAAATTCTTCTCATCAGTTTTATGAGCTAATTGCTCTTACATTAACAGAGGTTTCAGTATCAATCTGAAATACATTCTCAAGTAGGGAAAATGTTAACATCAGCTAGAAGCTGTATTCTTAAACAGTACTCAAAATTTTCCATAACAGAGGAGAGCCAGACCTTTAGATACCAAATACAACAACATCCACCAAGCCAGGTTACTCTTGACTGCAGGCCACTCTCTCTTAATATTGGCAGGGAAATCCCAGGCCTAGATGTATGGTCATCTGATAGAGCATGACTGGACATGGCAAACATGAAATGTAACAACATGTTGAGACTCAACATAATATACTCAACCTTTGTAATTGTGGGAAAATATACTTCATGAAACAAAGTCATACTAGTTATAAAAGTATGAATAACCTTTTGTGTAAGAAAAGTGTGTAATGAATATCTTATGTATTTTTGTTTCTTTTTTTTACAGGTCAACACGCTATGGGTAATATTGGGAGGTGGCTTGTTGATGTGACTATATTAGTCTCTCAGCTAGGTGAGTATAATGTAGTATAGGAAAAGTATAAATTTGACTTTCCAATAATAAATAGTTTTTAAAATATAAGAACACTAGTAGGCTACCTAAAAAAAGTTGAGAATTAATTTATCCAGCATATTCTCACTCCAGTAAAGATTAGCTATGACTTGAAAATGTTAATGATTTGTAGAAGTAAAGTTGATTTTAGTAATAATCGAACATTTTTCTCTAATCATGCAAACAATTATGATAAAAGCTGATTTCTAAGTAATAGTTCCTGACTTTTGTGAAGGTGTAATTATAGGAATAATTTTGATGCTTTATTTTTGAAGATTAATTCATTTTGAAAAGTAAGATGTTTCCTATGTACTTTAACCTAAAAAAAATGAGTTTTTGTATAAATCCATCTAGTATTGTTAAAACAAATTCAGATCTAGAAAGATATGAAAAATAGTTATAACAAATTAAAAATAATGTAATTTTCTCCTGAAAAGCAATTTGTAACTACCACCGATATTAGCATTTTTCTTGTCAATCAAGTAGAGTTGTTCAAAGGTTTTTTTAAGGGTGGGTGTAATTTAGGACCTAAAATGTCCCACTTTATCACAAAATAAAATTAGAAGAAAATGTGGTTTCAGTGACTCAAGGTAATGTTGAACATGTTATGTGTTATAAACAATAGCAAAAAATTAGTATGATCATCTGTGAATTAGAGAATTGATATTTCCAAGGAATATTATACATTTGGAGATGTTAATATGTGGTAAGTCTCACTTTTATGTTCTACAACGGACTTGGTCTCCTGAAACTTTAAAAGTACAGGGTGTCCCAGAAGTCTGGACCTATAGGGAAAATAGACATTATATTCTTAAAGTTAAACAAACACATTTCTAATGTCAGTTATACATATTTCAGGAAAGAAAATATCCTGATAGTACAGTATACCAAAAATTGATATGTGTATAGCTGTTGACTTACTTGACTTAATCCTGTAGACTCCCAGTGGAGCATAGGGCCGCAACAACACCTTGCCATCAGACTCTGTTCTGGGCTGCTCTCCTCAGCTGGGTCCATGCCACTCCAGCGACCTTCGCTTCACTCCCGACCGATCTCCTCCACGTCTGTTTTGGCCTCCCAGCTTTTCTTTTCCCTTGTGGGTTCCAGTCCAAGGCCTGCCTTGTAACGTTATCAACTGGTTTTCGCAGTGTGTGTCCGATCCAGCCCCATTTTCTTTTCCTGATGTCTTGGCTGACTGGGTTCTGGTTGGTCCTTTTCCATAGCTCTGTGTTTGAGATCTCTGGCCACCTGATGTTTAGGATGTGTCGCAGGCACTTCTTGATGAATGTTTGTATCTTGTTGGTGATGGTGTTCGTAACTCGCCATGTCCCGGATGGACCCATACAGGAAGACTGCTTTTACATTTCTGTTGAAGGTGCGGATCTTGCTGCACAGGGATAAGGCTTTGGAGTTCCAGATGAGTCACAGGGTGTTGAACGCGAGCCTTGCTTTGTTGATCTGGCTCCTAACGTCCTTGTCTGCGCTGCCGTCTCTGCTTACTATGCTTCCAAGGTAAACGAAGCACTCTGTTTCCTTGATGTCTTTTCACTGCAGCTGCATTGGGCGCTCTTGTTTGTTGTTCAGCCGCATCACCTCTGTCTTCATACAAACAACATAACATGCTAATCCAAAGCAATCTTAAAGACTTGGTCAGATACCTATAGTTACAAGAAATAGTGTTTCAAATAGAACTACTGTGATGGATTTAGTATTAAATATTTATTTTAATATTGATGTGTGTTTAAATTAATTTATATTTAGAAATTTACATAACTTATACTGTTAAATATGCATTGCAAAACTCCCACCTATTCTCTAAAGTTGTAAAAGATTCTCGAGTGTAAGAATCAACAATATATGTGCGTACAAAAATGCTAGTGTTAGCGTCAGTATTGTTATGTAAAACTGAAATTTCAAGAAACTCTCCATACGGCTATAAGTATAACCAATGAGTTGTGCCAAAAAACAGTGTCTATTATTGGGTTACTGTAGTTGGTGTGCTATAAACTTCGTAAGCTATAACTGTGATTAATGCTTATTAATCGAGAACTGCAGATATATTGACCGGGAACATTTATAAATTTCGAACATTACAAATCATTCAACTTCAGTGAATTTACATTGGACATTAGTACTTTTACGAAGATATTATATAACTTCAGTGGTAAAAGAAACTTGACCTGTAATCGCCATGTGATTTAGGTACTGAAGGTGTGATTAATCACACCTGTTCTAAATTTTGTGGTTGTTGAATAAGAACCAACTGAACCATCATATGCTGTTCTAATAGTATTTAATGCAGTATATTCTAGATGAGTATCAAATCTAGCTGCCTTTATTCCTTTGTTATTTTCTGGAAATAATACTTGCTGTGCCTGGTTGGGGGGTGTTACTCAATATTGCATTTGTGGGAAATGTCAACAGCAGTGTCCTTTAGTGATAGTACAGGTGATATCTAGAAATTATGGCCCCACCTATATCGTAATGAGAACAACCAAATACCTGGGGGGTGCTAGTCACTGGATAAATACAAGGTTCTTTGCAAATTAAGGAACTATGCATTTAAATAGCTTGGAACAGGATCTTGAACTGTAAGCCACTAAGAGTATTCAGTAAAAGAGATAATTTGCTATTTTCAAAAGCATGCACATACACACACTATATTTTGTGTGTTAAATCAAGATTGTGCATTTGTGTATTTCACTTTGTCCAGTCTCATTATTTCTCTTTACATTGACTCAATTAGTAAGAGATTTAGTATTACTTTGTAATCAGTATGTTAATTAAATCTCCTTTTATCAAGTTAACATATCCAATATAGCTCAAAAGTTAATTGAATTTCACCTAGATATACCACAAAATGGATAGGTTAGGAGAACATTTCGTTGTTCAGAGGGTTTATACAGGTTTTGGAAAGTTTTGTAAAAGTGAGAATTTACTCCATGATTTTTCCAAAATCATGGAAAATGAAAATTTTCTCCTGTGTTTTCCATATTTTGTTTATTAATATCTGATGGCAACAGTCTTCCAAGCAAGCCCTTTGTGTCTTCTCTTAGTGACAAGCATGCACTGCACATGCACAAGTATGAATAGCAATTTCAATTACTTCAGCAGTACAAGGTTTAATGAGGTTGTCAATGTCTGAGCCTTGCCAATCAAGCAATTATGTAATTATTATTCATCCGTTTTTTTTCATCATTACTTTTATGTTCTGTACTTGCATAAAACATGCCAGACAAATGTATATTTAACAATGCATGGCTTCTGAAGGACGAGTACAAGGAATGGCTCGTTATGGGTGCACGTTGCCAACTAGCTTGTTGCAATGTGTGCCATAAAAAATTTCAATGTTAGCAATATTGGTGAGTCTGCAGTGATAACTTATATGAAGGGGTAAAAGCATGAGGCTAATTTGCATAAATTACATTCACCAACAGCAGCCACACCAATTGTACGCAGTTGATATTTTCTGAATCTGGGCTGATTGTCAGTTAGGTTGACTGTTGCGACAAATCAACACAACATCATAGTTCAGTAAGTAAGTGAATAATACGCGTAAGTTAAATTTAATATTAAAGATAATGGGCTGAATTTCATTGATCTAAATTGCCAATACAATTTAATAAAGTTGTGTTATTTTGCAATTAGCCTTTGGATGATTCACTTCTTTTCATCTAGGTGTCAGCACCTCATTATGCAATTTATTCATTACAGGGCAGACTGGATTCATATATTTAAAGAGAAGATGAATGGAAAGCTTAAGTTTTGTGAGTCCTGAAGACAGCACAGTTACAAATGCTGTGGAAACATAAAGGGACTGCTTAAAAAGATGTTCCCAGATAGTAAAATTGCATCCAACTTCTCGTATGGAGAGAAGAAATTTGCATATGTGGCTTGCTTTAGAATGGCCCCATGTATCAAATCAACTTTGTATCAAAAGCTTGGAAAAGATAGACTTTGTGCTCTTGTATGACAAATTCTTAAATGATAAAAACCAAAAAGATGAACTTAATGTGTACCTTCGGTACTTTGACTTGGGAAAAAAATCTTGTGATGACTAGATTTCTTGATTTTGCATTTTTTGGCCACGTGATCTCTTAACCCATTTCTTACAGCTGACAAAAGATTTTATATTTAGTCATCTTTTCCAAATAGGATGACTAGTTAAATGGTCCTTCCATGAGAAATTAAAATCAGTTAAAAATTACAAATTTGGACCCATCTGTAATGGGTCTTGTGGTCTCTGATTGGGAATTAGAAGCAATACCTAAATCAATGTACCACCTTTTCAAAGATTCTCTAACCAGATGAGAAGACTTTGAGAAAATTACTGGGTCTTGTATGGATACACAGTACCAAAATGTCAAGCATATAATACTGTGAAATCTGCAACAAATGATATTTCTGTAGCAAAGTTATCATTTTATGTTTTGATATCTGAAGAACTCTCTCTGCTTCTGATGAAATATCAGACTGACCACCCTGTACTGCCTTTTATCAGCAATTATCTTGAGCGCATGATCAGAAACCTTCTGAGAAGAATTGTAAAACATGAAATGCTATCAGAGCAGAATACAGAAAATCTGAAATCAGCTAAGCATGTGTTACGTATTATAATTTCAAATAGCCTGAAATTGAGTTAAATGATACTTTAAATTTAGTAGTTAAATTGTGCTTTGGATTTAGTAGTTAAATTAAACCCAATATATAGTCAATTTATAATGCTTGGATATGGCTTGAATGGGTAGTGAAGAAAAACTTTAATATAAGTTTAACAAAACAGCAAATGTACAATGTTTCGACATCATCAGGTACAAGTAATTTACACTGACACAGATATATATATATATATACAGTACTGAACAAAGAGGTCACATGACTGGATACTATTGCAAAACTTAGAAGAGGTATCTTGGCACCCCAGGGTGTTGGTTTAGAGTAGGGTTGTTTGTTCAATTAAG